GCAGGCTTTGGGGTCTTGCATTACTACAGAGCATGCCTTTTGAGAGGTTCCCTTCATCATCTCATCCCATCCCATTCCTTCACATCCAAAGATGCTTCGCTATTTCTTTCAACACGTTCAGCCATACCCCTGAGAGCATGTCACTAAATACAATCATATCCATCTCCTTACATTTCTAGTGATGTTTTGTCATCCCCAAGGGTTGAGAGTGGAGCGTCTTCTCCTAATCTAGTTCCTGGGGAATCCAAGGGCGGAGGCCAGAGAAGCAGAGGTGTGAATGGGAAGACAGAGGGGCATCCTACCAGAGAGGGAGCCATGGGCAAGAGAGCTGCAAAGCGCAGCCAAAGAGCTGCACACGAGTGGCCACTCTCTACATACCTTGACCACACCCTTGTTGGCCACAACCGCCTGCTCTCCCCTCTCTCCACCCACAGAACCATGGTTCCACCTCAGCTAGACTCTTGTGGGCCTGTCCCTCCCCCTCTAGTCAATCAAAGGTGACCTAGACACAGGATTGCAGATCTCCGGCCACTCCAGGCACATAAAACATCCACAGTGGTTCCTAGGGAAGATGTCTTCACAGCATTTCTACCTCCCCGCTCTCTCAGACAAAATCAGGAAGGGAGGAACCTTGCTGGTCTCTGACTTGGAACTCCAAGCCCAGGGCAGCCCCAGAACCTCAGATGACCCTGGCCAGAGTGGAAATTCCTCAAGGGCACAAGGCTCCTGTTACAGCTCTAGAACCTCCCTCAGTGCCCCGCGGTGTTTGTGGTTGGTTGAGTAAGTGGATAGGAGACCATCTTTTTGGCTTTTTTCTACTCCTGTTTTTTTCTTTCACACTTGCTTACATTACATCTTCCGGTCAACCCCAGGCACCGCCCAGTGGCTTCCCACGAACACTTCCCTAGACCCCATCAGCCCAGACATTGCCTGGTTTGCTGAACTTCTGACAGCTCTCATTTGTGGAACCTACCTGTGACAGGACAAGGAGGCCCATGAGTCTGGAAAAGCCCAGCAGAAGATATCCCAAAGTAGACTATCTGAGAAGGCTCTCAGGATCTGAGCCCTAGACCCAAACCCCCAATCCAAGCTCCTTTACTGACTCACTGTGACCTTGGGCCTCTCAGACCTTCAGTGTCCTCATCTGTAAAACCGTATAAATGCCAACAACACAAAGACAGACTCTACCCGCGTGATGGAGGTGCACATGAGGTCATATGCATAAAAAGTACTTGCTTTGCCAATGATTCAACTCCAAAAAGGAATTACTACTGCAATCATCTCTTAAAGACAGAAAGCATCCTTGTATCATATGCGCAAATAAAAGATTAGCACGTACGGACACACCTCTGGCTGTGTTCCCCTCATTTCTACCCAAGGTCATTATATAAGACTCCTACAATTTCTCTGCTTATAGAGGATCTGGGTTAGGATTTAGGGTGGAGGGAGGAACACAGGAGGAGGATTGGAGATAAAAGTGTGGAACAAGCCTTGTGTGGCTCTGGATGGTGGGAAATTGGCTCTTTTTAGGCCTTAGGCAAAATCGTCCAGGAGGCCAAGTGTGTCTTGAGTGCTCCATGGCTCATCTCTCCCCTGGCCTAAGTTGGCTGTCTCCGAGTCCAAGGTTTTTTCCTATTTCATGACCCATTCTGTCAGAATAAGGACTTTTCAGCAATCAGCCTTCCAATCAGAAGGAATGATACCCTTCATGCTGGGAATTTGGGGTATCCTGAAAACTTGGTGGGAGATACTTTGCAGGTTTGGGGGAAGTTTGGGAAGGGGAACAAGGATTATCTTGAACTCCCCTCTCTACCTTGGGGCCAGCCCAGCTTTTAGGTGTAAGGTGGCTGTAACCTCCTCTTCCACACCCCTAGCCCCTCCACAAAAGAAAGTGTGGGACCGAAGGGCAATGGCAGCTTGGTTCCTTGACTTTGACCATATCAGAAAATCAGACTTGAGCATCACTTATGGTTAGAGAGAGGATATGGGCAGTGGATGGGCATGGAGAACTGGATAGTTGCAAGGATTAGAGATGGGGCCAGGAGGTGAGAGGGGGGTATGTAGGTAGACCTCCAGAATGTTCCTGGCCACACGTGGAGGCCCACTCTTTGTGAAGGCAGCGGGAAGCCTTTGTTGGGGGGGGTGGAGTGTAAGATCGCAAAGACCAATTAGCCCCATTCTCAAGTTGGCCAGCCTCTGGTCATTCCTATTTGGGGAAAGATTTCCATAGGATTACGCTAGTCCCAGGGAATTGCTGGCCCTCTTTCCAGATGACTTGGGTGAACCTTCTTACTCAGAGAAAATTACATGGCTCGATTGTCCACACAATTGGGAATGCCCACCTTGAATACGTCACCTTAAACACCTTAAACGTGTCATTAAAACCATTTCAAAGCACTTTGCAATGAACTACGGGAGTTTGGGGAAGAAGTACCCACCTGTATCTTTCCCCTCACTTCGGTTACAATTGGTTCAACAATCTGCCTCTGATTTTTTCCAATAGTAAGGATAATGTGAGTTTAAAAAAAAACAACACTGAACATTACTAATTTTTCAAAGCATCTTCTGTTTATTTAAAAATTAGAGGAAACCCACAAATATCGGTCTTTATAGGAAGTCACATTCACCTTTCTGGCTGGATCTTTAGCAAACTACTTCCCCTCCTTATTCACTCAACGTAACTGGAGAGGTTTAAACTCAGTTATCTCTAAGATCCCTCCCTGTGATTAAAAAAATGAAGTGTATGGGTTTATAATTTCATGAGTTGCATTTTCATGAGGTTCTTCAGGGGATATAAACCTATAGCTCTGGCATGTATGGGTAGAACTGTGTCCCTCTCCTACTCCCCACCAAATTCTTATGTTTAAGTCCTAATTCTCAGTACCTCTGAATGTGACCTTCTCTGTAAAGATGGTTACTGCATACGTAATTATGTAAAATGAGGTCATATAGGTGAGGGCAGGCCCATAATCCAATAAGACTGGTGTCCCTATAAAAAGAGGAAATTTGGACACAGACTGGGACAAAGGGAGAATGCCATGTGAAGACTGGAGTTATACTATCATAAGCTGAGAACACCAAAGATTGCCAGCAACCACCAGAAGTTAGGAGAGGCATGGAACAGGTTCCCCCTCACGGCCTCAGAAGGAGTCAACCCTGCAGACACCCTGATCATAGACTTCTGCCCTGGAGACCTGTTTAAGCCACCTAGACTGTGGGACTTCGTTACGGCAGCATGAGCCGGCTAATATAGGGCACCAAACTCAGGGGGTATGCAGGGAATTCTCGTGCATCTCAGAGCCCCTCGTGAGGCTTCAGTGTCTACCTGCCCACACAGAAGATTGCATCTGACTGAAGACACCCACAGGAGATTGGAAACAGACTTTTACTGAGATCGGCTCTGTGCCGGGCCCAGACATTTTTACATCTCATAACCACCTTGTGAGGTTTCTGTTTCCCACTTAGGCCAAGGAGGGCATCAGGGCTCAGAGGGGTCACATTCCAACATTCATAGCCCCAATCACGTGGGGTCACTGCCTGAGGCAATGGGTCATAGCTCCAAGGATGTGGGGTCACAGGCCCTGGCACAAGGGGTCACTACTCGGAGGACATGGGGTCATGGACCTGAACATGAGGTGTCACCGCCCTGAGGATGTGAGCTCACAGTCCTGATCAAGTGGGGACATGGCCTCAAGCACGTGGGGTCACGACCCCAGGGACATGGGGTCAAGTCCTCTGGCATGTGGGGTCATGACCTATTCACTGGCGCCACGGCTCTGAACATGTGGGGTCACAGCCCCAGTCACGCAGAGTCACAGTCCTGAGGCTGTGAGGTCATAGTCCCGAGAAAATGGCACTAAAATCCGACATTAAAATCTCTCCCATCCATAATATGCCACAAAACCCTTCAGACTGTGGTTGGAACAATGACTTTCCCTTTGCCATCCTCCCCCTCTTTCCTCTTCCTTTCATTGTTTTTAACAGGAAGAATGGAAGTCACTTCCCTGCCACCCTCACAAATTGGCTAGTCCATCCATCTAACCACTGACTGATCTATACCTAATTAATTTATAAAAGAGCACTAATGACATGCCATAGCCTAACCTTAACTAGGAAATCTATTTCCTTTCCTGTATGATCCCACCCAGGCAATGTTGGGGCCATGGTGCCTGACTGGACACTGCTAGCTAAATCCTGTGAGATTGAAAGCTATTTCTAGATTGAATGGTGGGAACAAGGGCAGACAGTAAAGGATGGTGCAGCCAGAGCTAAGGAATGACAAGAGCCCAGGCTTCAGTCACAGGCTGAAGTACCCCGAGTCCGGTTGCTCTTCTGTCTTGCGTCCATAGCAGACGTCATGAATAAACAGGTTTTGTTCTCTTGAGTCCATCCTCAGAATACCTTGCAACTTATAAATACAGAAAGAACTTATAAATAGAAATCGGTCCGAGAGTGGGGCAGAAGTCAGGGATGGTAGTTTATTCATTAACGTTTACTTTTTGAGCACTGAATTCCAGTAGGTCCCTGGGTTGAGTGAGGGGATCAAAAGATGGGAAGCCCAGCAATACATAGTGCTTTCCATTTAGCCTACGCAACGTATCAAAAATATTATCGTTTCAACATGTAATCCGTATAAAAGTAGTAAATTAGCTATTTCATATTATGTTTTTCATACGAAGTCTTTGGAAGTCAGGTGTATTTTGCACTTAACAGCCCATGTACGATTCAACTCGAACTAGCCGCGTTTCAAGTTCTCAAAAGCCGCACGGGGACAACGCTGCTTTCAAGGTGCCACAGAGATGATCTGTGGACACACGAGTCCGCGGCGACTGCAAGACTTAAGCTAGGGCCGGTGGCACCGCGGCGCCAGTGGGAGATGCAGGGAGCGAACCGGGAGTCGTAATCGGAACCCCGGTGCTGTGGGGTCCGACGGGACTTGTAGGCATCGGCCCCTGCGGAGCATGACGGGAGTTGTAGTCCGCGCCCGCCTGCGGCGGCTCTACGTATCATGGCGGGCCACGCCGCGCTACCGCACTCTTCCGCTGGGCCCCAGAAAGTTTCGCTTCTGCCCAGCGGTGGACCCAAGAGCGAGTAAGTGCCGCGGGGGGCCGGCCGGACCTTGGGGGAGCCTGGGCCGCTGTCGGCCCTGGAGCTGAGAACTTCCCTCCCGGCGCGGCTTCTCACCTGTTGCCCTCACCGTCCCCGCCCATCCCAGGTCTCCCCCAGACCCCGCCCGAGACCTTGCCCTGATCCTGCGGGTCTGGGAGGCACCTCGGGCCGGGCCTGAAACTAACCGGGAACCCAGGCTGCCTCCGGAGGTCAGTTAGAAAGACCCCCAAACACCAGTTCCAGGACCTCCGATGCCGAGGGGCCGGCAAGGAGCCCACCATATGGGAGTCTCAGAACAAGCCTTGGATCCTTTAGGCACAGGAAGACAGGTCCCCGGGGTTTCTGCTTGCATTGTCCGGGAGGCTGCTGACCTTTAAAAGCGAAGTTCCTGGCTTAGCTGGGCCGGGACAGCCCAGACCTTTTCATTTCGCCCTTCCACCCATAAGGGGACAGTTTGTTCATCCCGGGCCATCTTCAGGCCTTGGTCCATTCTCTTTACCTCGTAGGATCTCGAGATAGCCCCCAGTGGTCTTTCCTGAAATACCTGTGAATTTGGGATTGTGGTGCGGCCGCCTGGGTCTTGGGCTAGATAAGAGTCCATGCTATTTAGAACCTAGGGTGGGGTTGTTGTAGGGGGAGGGCTGGGTTTTATTTTATTTTTGTGTAAGGAAAGCGTGTGCAGTTGACACATTAACCACGTGACTCCCTGTTAATGCACATGTGTCCTCTCGTGCCTCTTATCACTCCTCACAGCTCCCATTGGCTGCCCCCTCTAGAAAAAAATAGAGCACTTACAGAAACTGCTTTGTGTTGGCAGCGGTCTCTGCCCCTCTGCTTGTCTTACTGCCCTTACTGCGGGCAGTTTCCTTTCCCACAGAGAAATGGGTCAGGGGCTCTTTGAGGGCAGAGGATCAGGCTGTAATCTGCTCACTGCCCTCCTGCGCTTGCAAGCCCTGTGGTCTGTGTGGCAAGCTGTACTTACTTGCCATCTGCCTAATGCGGCTTCCCCTGCGTGTTGGTGCGGGGAAAGAGCCCTCTGGCTGAGGTTTAATGCTTTCTGTGGCTCCCACCTTCCCAGGCGGGCCCGTGTTGAGGGGATTCCACTCAACCCTCCCTTCTGTGACAGCCGCTCTTCATCAACTACTGAATGCCCTGCCCAGTTGTGGGCCATCGTTGTGATCATCCTGGAAATCAGAGCTAATTGTCTCAGTGAAGGGACATGGCCTTCTGTGATTACAACGATCTGAAACGGCTCTTGCTTTAGGAAACAGGTTTCCTGCTTCTATTAAAAGTGTTCATCTTTGTGTAGTGCTTCATTTAGCTTTTAAGTTGTTTTCAGTATTTTATTAGGCGCACATAATCATTGCAAGAACTGTGTAGTGTAGTGAACATGTGCCCACCTGTTAGAGTCCACAACTTGTATTCGACTTTGATTATTTTTGTAGTGGCTTTAGAGTCGATCCTCTAGCTGCTCCTTGGATGGTTTTTTGCTCCTTGCAACTGGTTTGGGGGCAATAGCAAGGATTCAGGAACCATGCTTTTAGCCTGGTCCTTTTAGGGGACGATGACCCCCACAGATGTTTGTGATCAGAGGAACCACCCCAGACAGACAAGATCAGAGCAGCTGGTGACATTGGCCTGTATCAGTCACCGAGGCTGTGGGCTGCCGCCTCCAGAACACGTAATGGGCACCCGAGAAATGGCAGTTCCTCTCTTTCCTCTAGGGGAGAGGTTTGGCTGATGGGGAACCTGTATTTTCTGGTGATTCCAAGGACGACTTTGGTGACTCAAGGTTGGAATGTCTTTAAACACGAGGCAGAGGAAGCATATTGCCTAGCTGTGGTCTCGTGGTGAAAATCACTGATAGGAACTCAGGGTTTGGGGTCACATTCACTGGAGCAGCCCCAGGACACACAGCAGGTCAGGAGCATTAAACTGGTGCCTTGTAACCAGCCAGATGCCACCCGTGAGCAGAGATGAGTGGAGTTTGGCCTTGTCCACATCTGCTCACCTAGTGCAGAATGTCACTGTGTTGCTCCAAAGATGAACAATATTTTCTACTTGTGATCTCAGTGCCAGTTTTTTGGAGTTTTTGTTTGTTCGTTTGTTTTTATTTTTAAAGCTTTTGATTGGTATGAGAGTCTGTTTGAACAAGTAAATAAATCAGTAGGGTGGATACTGAAATGTTTCCATGGGTCTGTCTTTAGCCTTTTGCTGCTTTTAGACATACTGTTTGTCACCGGATTGACCCATAATATGAGCTTCAGCCTCAGAGCACATGGGTTCATGGCTTTTACGAGATGAGGATGGTAGAGCGTGCTCAGTGGGGCAGGAGGTGTTTTCCCCTCTTCCACATGTTGGAGCCAGTCAGCCTGATGGTTTTTGTGACCACCAGTGGTCCTCCCTGTTCACAAAGGGCTTTGTGGCATTTGAAAGACACCAAGCGCCTGTTTCTAGTTTGGCCAGATCCTGTTTGCAGGGATGAGGATGTGTACATCAGTGTGGTTCTGAGGGGACTCTGTGGTCTGGTTCTGGGGCCCTGGTTCCTGCAGCTGGTTCTGGGGCACAAGGGCAGGTCTGGCTGACCACCTCAGGAGCCTGGGGTACTGCATCTTTGGCCTGGGGCAAAAAACCGAGTTAGGGGAGCCTGTGGAATCCAGAAGAAAAACCCGAGGTACAAAAACAATCCAAACTGGAACTGGAACCAGTTCTCTGTGTGTTCCAGGGGCGGTGACCGAGAAGCCATTAGTATGCGGGGGGCGGGTTAGGCCAAGAGGAGCATCCCATGGGAGGTCCAGGGTGGGCTGGACAGCTGAACGAGGGGTGGTGGCTTCACAAGGAGCCAGAAGGAATTTCCTCGAGCTGAACCTGTAGCCTCATGGGCTGCTTCCACGGCTCCTGGAGCCTTGGTCAAGAGCAGAGAGGGGGCACTTAGAAGCCTCTGCCAAAGTTAGCCACTGGGAATATCTGCTCCTCTCCTTCCCCGCCTCTTCCTTAAGGAAGATAAAGAGTAACCTCCCCACATTGCACATGGGGGAGAAACCAAAACAAAAACACAGGGAAAAAAGGTCAAACAACTTCCCCAAGATAGACAGATTTGCTTAAATTGCCTTGAAAAGAGTTTGGGGAGCTAAATATAGCAGTCTCACCCAATCATGGCACGATCTTTATTGCATTCCCCATTGCATGCTAGGGAATGGAAATTTCACATGACTAGTTGGATTCCAAAATCTGAATAGGGTGCAAATTGGCAAGCCTCAGCTACAGTTGGTAAAAGAGAGGACAGTTTTCTTGCCCATTGCCAAACTCCAGCTTCAGAGCCATCCTGCGTCTTGCTCGCCCTTCCTGTCTGCCAGCTTAGCCCCACCCCCTGCTCTCTCTGCACCCGGTTGCTGCTCTTGTCACCCAAGGAGCACAGCGGAGCTCAGACCCATCAATACCTCCCCACCCTGCGAGTGTTCCTGGTTGATGTTCCAGATCCAAAGTCCCAGGGATGCAGACAGGGAAGGGCTTTGGGAGGGTTGGGTGAGTGGGGGAGGTGGCCAGAGCGGCCTTGGTTAGCCTTGTCCGGATAGGGTGAAGGGGGCTTCTGGGTAAGGCTGTCTCAGGCCGGAGCTGTGGGCACACTTTTGCCTGTAGACACGCTTAATCCATCCAGTCCCTAAGTTGCATTATTCCATTCCTTCATGGGATAATAATTCCGTAGTATTTCCACAATGACGGTATAACATCTGTAATTACAATGTGATTTTTTTTAATGCATTATTTTAGTCAACATAAGAGTAATTTGTGTCCAGTAAAGGAAAAATGAATAATCGGAGAAATCGAATTTTTTTAAAATTTACCCATGTTTCCTACCATGGAAGGATGATTAGCATTATTTACATGTTGGTACATTTCTAAGCCTAAAATTTAGTTTGGTTTGTGGAGCAAGAGTCTTGGGGTTGGTTTTGTCTGACTGATTCATTCCTTCAACAAGTAATTTATCACGGGCTCTCCACGGATCAGAAAGAACTGTGCTAGGTGCTGGGGAAATGGTGCGTGGCAATGGAGCTTACAGACAGGTGGGAAGAACAGGTTAAACGAGAAATACCATACTGGCAAATGACCACAAACGTGGAAGGAAGGCAGTGGGGGCTTAGAATCATGAGCAGAGTAGAGTCTGGTTGCCTTCTGTGCTCACCTGCTTTTCATCAAAGCCCTTCTGAGGCCTTAAGTGACCTCTTATTTGTCTCTAAGCTTACTGGGGGTATATGCTGTCCTCCCCTCTGGAGCATGGGTTCCTTGAAAGCCAGCCTTGCTCACGGCTGTAGCCCCAGCTCCTGGGTCAGGCCTGCATCTTACTAGTGGTGCCCAGCAAATCCTTCTTGCCCGGCTGGCAGTCTCTTAACACATACGGGTTAAAAGTGGTCTTCCTCAAGGCCGTGTTTAGTAGCTAAAGAACATTCTATCAGAGTTTCAGTTCGTAATTCGTCCCTGGCTGGACTGAGCCCCTTGATACTCAGGTCAGGAGAGTCGCCTGAGCGTATGGTTCCAGAGCTCTGCAGTTTTCTCCATCCGGGTGGGGTTTGTGCTGTGTGGGGGCTAGGAAGAAATAGGTGCTCCAGCTGCGCTCTCAAGTGTCAGGCAAGTGTTCTGAAGACTGCCCAGAGTTCCACATATGCACTCATAGTTTGTCTGGGCTTTCCGGTGGCATGACCTCAGGTATGGATGTGTGGCTCCTTTCAGACAGCTGCCCCCAGGACCCCAGAGGCAACACCTCCCATCCACAGGTCTCTCGCCCCTGCCTTTGTGGGCCAGTGGGCTGGAACTGGAACCAGTTCTCTGTGTGTTCCCGGGGCAGTGACCGAGAAGCCTGGAATCGTTGGTGGGAGGGTCAAGGCCAAGAGAAGTTTCAAGAAGTGATGGCAAAGGCTCAAGTCTCCACTCCCTTTATGAAAGATTGCAAGCAAGAAGGAGTGTGTGGGAAAGATGACCCAGGC